AAGAACACATAGAATAGCTTGAAGGATTGAAAGAAGCTTATTGTTTCCAACAGCTGACAGCCATATGATAAGAACTTGGGGCAAAAGTCCTTCCCTTTTTCACAAATGCAGGGTATTCATAAGTAGACTTGCTCTGAGGTTCCATTATGGCTAGCACACATTGATGTAGTTATTATTAATTCCTTTACAGAATCTATACTCTGCCTTCCTGCCCAATTAGAGTAACCAAGGCAGCTAACAAACAATGCACAACCCTTTGACAAAATATTTTCAAACCCTCCAAGAAGAAAGCAAAAGAGAGGAACTGCTGCATGGTAAACCCTTCCAGGTAAGTATGGAATGATCTGCTGATCTCGAAGAAGCCTTCAGAGATCCTCCAAAAGGAAGAAGACAGTGAAGATCCTCTTCAAGAAAAAGTGCTATACATTGTACATTGACTATGGGATTCCTCTGTTCCTTTCCTTCATTCTAGCTGGGTCGCCTCTCTTTGTGCAGTGCCAACCAGCCCAACCATGTGCTCAGGACCATCTCGCTGATGCAAGGAATCAGCCACCGCCTCAGAAACAGCCTTCAAGCAAACACGTTATCAACCATCGTAAAAATAATGTCTTATCTCATCACCCCGAGGGTGTCAAAGGACCTGCATTCCATTTTTATGTCCCATAATCGCATCTCTGGGCTTCACAAGTCGATACTGGGACCACCCTGGCCACCGCCTAGTGTCGTTATTGTTTTCTCAAAAGCTCAGCCATTAACAGAGCCAAGAGTCTGCAATTGCCCAACACTTTACTAACAAAAACTTTTCTTTCCCATATCAGGACTTCTTTTGTCCAAAACCCCTCTACAGCCACTACAGGACATCCTGGCCCATCCAGGACCATTTCCCCATTGTGCCTACTGCCCCGCGCTAAATTTTTCCTATATTAGGACTCCAAACCCAGCCATTTTTGGTTTAGTCTCTTGGGACAGATCCCCCATTTCTTTTGGGTCTCCTTAGATGTGCTTGCCGGCCAAGCCATCTGCTCCTCTTCATTGCGGACTCTTCTCTTCAGGAAGGTAGCTATACCCCCTCCTCCTCAACACATTGCCCTCTGGTGTCACTGACCTCTTAATGATTGCTTCACCTCTTTATTTCCTAGCTCTCTGGTGTTGTGTGTGTGTGTGTGTTGATGTACGCATGAGCGTGCATGTGCGTGTGTGATATTCTATTGATTACCTTTGTGTATTAAGGTTATTTTCTTAAATAAATTTCACAAAAGACATTTCCTGTCTGTCATCTGACTCTGGTGTAGTATTAAACAAATGGTCTCTTCGCTAACTTCCCCCATCATAACTTACAGAGACCCGGTGTTGCGGCTAATTTACGATGATCCAAAATGTTAATTCCTATGGGGCAGGGGTTGCTAATTTTTTATTTAATGTAGAGACGACAGAGAAGATCACGGGAAGGATGCAAACAATGATGAAAACAAACGTGATGTAGTATTATGAAAATATATTTAGACTGCTGTAATTATGAACACGGAAATAATTTATTTCATTTGAGTGGGGAGGGTGTTTGAGTGTTAATTCACAGATTAGTATTGTTGACGTGTAAATTAATGTTATTTATGCAGCACACTGTGAAAAAGCTGTTATGTGAAACGGGAGTCTATGCAATTTCCGTAGTGTGTATGCATAATCTTTATTACTTGCTGAAGAAACACTAAACACTGCAAAACAGCAGTCTAAATACATTTTATGTATGCGTAAATCTTTATTACTTGCTAAAGAAACACTAATCACTACAAAACAGCAGTCTAAATACATTTTCATGATACTACATCACGGTTGTTTCCATCATTGTTTGAACCTTTTATTTAATAGCAGCTACTTTTAAGTAATGGCATCCATACTACTCCCCCTCCCAAAAACATATTCCCCAAAAGACCACCAAAAAAAAAAAAGAAAAAAAAAAGCCTTTTTTTTTTAGAAAGGCCAAAGCAGATCTTTTCATAATTTTTCCTAAGTCTCCTAGGAGTTATAGGAGCTACCCTGGAGTAGCTACAGAGCTACCTGTTGGCTACCCTGCTATGGGGTCTTCAGGAGGCTTGATAGCCTACTCGAGCATTTTTTCTTCAGGTGAAAACCTCCTGAGGTTTAAATAAAAATACTAAAAAACTGTTTATGTGTTTAGGGGATTTATGCTGCCTCCCCAAAGCCCTGCTTGAGGTGGCTTAATTTTAAAAAATCAAGTATCAGTATAAAAACAGAACAAACCATTAAAAAT